TTGTTAATACTGAACACCATAATATCTGTCTCTTATACACATCTAGATGTGTATAAGAGATATATATATATACATTATTATATCACACACTAAATCAACTTATCTATTATATTTAATAAATTAAATAACATTACACATAGTGTCTTACATAACATCACACCACACAATATCATATATCATATCACTTCACATGGTATTATGTAATATTAATATTATGTTGTATCAATTGCATACTATACTTGTATTGTATTAGGTTTATATTTTGCTTCTTTCATTCTTTAAACGCTAAAACAACTGTATTTACTACATCAAATACGATATTAATTGTATTATGCTACATTATATTACAACACGTATATCGTACAGCATATCGCATAGGCATACATTATAAATACCTCTATATTTTACCAAAAGCATTATAATTTATGGCATTTTATTACAATAATATTAATCATATTACATTACCATAACAATACATTACGATACTCAACAGTTGAGAACATTACATGAGTATAAATATCAGAACACATTATTTTGTAGTATGATAACCTTTAATCACACTATTATGATTTTTGACTTGGATACATTCGGATTTATTGCCAATTCTCATGTTGAACTGAATGTACTGTCACGTGGTAGTGAACCCGGTACTATATCAGCCTGCATTATTATTAGATGGTTTATAAAGCAAACATTAACTGTAAGTTCAAATAAGGAAACATTACCAATGGCTATTATTAATGGCCAACGATGCAGCAGCTGCTGCAGTGATGTTATCCTTTACTCCAGTATTATTTTCACAATCCTTTGTTGTTTTTCCTTTTGTGTTTTTTTTTTTAAATATTTTTTTATTTTTTTTATGTTATTTAATTTTTTTTTATCTACCACTCTTGATTTATGACTATTTGATGGGCGGAGCGGTTAAGGGGTGCCCAACTTCCAGCTATAATATCGACTCTGGTTCGAGCGACTGGCTCGTCTATCGTTCTAGTGGTAGAACAAGTTTTCTCGGATAAGGATATTGGTGGTAGCAACATTGTGTGCGCTAAACCGTGAATATTTCTTGGTTACCCGTTCAATTCCCATTCTTCACTTAGCGTCCCTTTTGAGCACTGCTTCTTTAATGTAATCAAATATGCTCATTTTCATCGTTTTTTTTTTAATGATTCTTTATTTTTTCAAAAATTAAATTTTAACATATTGAGTTTATTGTTTGATTTAGAGAGCTCAGTCGGCTAATCTGGTGGTAGCCAACGTGTACGCTGAACCGTGGAGATCTCTAGATCCCCGGTTCAATTCCCATCACTGCCTCTCATTGTGTTTCAGTTGAAGGGCTGAAATACAAGTTACAAAAGCACACCGTCTTTAGGATGAGACGTAAAACCGTTGGTCCCGTGTGCATTTATGGCCCATGTGCACGTTTAAGAACGCAGTACAGTCTTCGGAGTAGTGGACTGTCTCCCGGTGAATTGCCCAATCACCACCAAAAGAAACCCACTGGAAATAAGTCTTCTTCAAGAATTTCGTTGGCTATCCTTGGTGTTTACACTGAATAAACCCAATCCAATCCAATCCAATCCGATTGTTTGATTTGATGTGGAAGAAATAAATGATTGAATTTGAACTTGAATTACATTGCCGAGCAAAGTGTTGAAAAACATATTATCTATGAAGTGTCTTAGTATTTTTGCAAATACTGTAACTTGTTTTGAGACAAAGATATGGCAGTCGTTCTTTACAATAAATATTTAGAGCACATGATAAGAGGTTTTAGGCCTATTGGAAATGAATTTCATTTTATAGTCAATGCCCGTTACAGCAGAACTTTTTCTCATGACTGAAAAAACTCCACTCCCCAAGCCCCATAAAATTATTCCAGGCAGTACACTAGGAGACAATCCTTTTACTCTTTTCTGAAGCGTATACTCAATGCCGTAGCCAGCTACTGGGACAGTTGAGACAGTCCCAAACAATTTTTCCATTAAGTTCACAAGGAATGGGTCTACATTTTTAACAATGGGTCTAAATAATGCTGTTTTAGCACAAAATGAGTCATTTTTTTTAATGGGTTAAGATTTCTCATATTTTTGCGTAAAATGGGTCCACTTTTAAGAAAATGGGTCCAGATTTTTCACATTTTCGCGAAAAATGGGTCTACTTTAAAAAAAAAAATGGGTCCACATTGAATATTACGCGTAAAGTGAGTCAACACTGATATTGTCCCGCATTGTTTGAAAATCCTGGCTACGGCATTGAGTGCACTGCGTTCTTTAACGTGCAGCACATGGGCCATATTGTACACGGGACCAGGGGCTTAAATATCTTATCTTATCCGATAGACGGTGCGCATATAAACTTGACTTTCAGTTCTCCAGCTGAAACACAAGGGCAGCAGCTAAGGGACTTGAGGGACCAAGAGATCCCCACGGTTCAGCGCGCACCACAGTGACTGCCACCTTAGCCCTTTGAAGCTACGTCCTTAGAACACCAAACATGATTATTTATGACATACCCTAGTGGCAAAGGTTAAAACTCAATAAGAAATGAAAACAAGATAAAAACAGTGCATAATGCAAGGATAAAACAAATGAATGATACATTTTTATCATTAGCCATTAGAGCATGTCCGTACAGAGAAATGTTTAAAGGTGCTCATCAATCAAAACATTAGGAGCGTTGTCTAGTGCATGTGAATATTTTAGTTGTGAAAACCACACAAAATCCATTTGTCTTTATCAGCTTCAGTAGGTTATTCGGCTGAACACGAAATTTCATTTGTGACCATACATCCATTCATTTACAGCTATTAATCCATCCATCCATGCAGTGCCGTAACGCCTATGCGCTCTCATGCGGCGGTCCGTGGGGACCCAGATCCCTAGGGGCCCCGAAGGGGCCCTACCCATAGTTTCCTCGATCTAGCACCCTGACCAAAAGGAATTTGTTAATACTGAACACCATAATATGTCTCTGAATTCGAGATATATCATTTTTATCCAGTGGCGAATTAAAGGGAGGAACCCAGTCGGCATTAGGACCCCACCAAATTTGTCAAAAAAAAAAAATAAATAAATAAAATAAATAAATAAAAATGATAAGATAAAAAGAAAAGAATAGAATTATATTTACAATTTTAATTCTGTAAGTGCCATTTTTGGCAATCCAAACGTGCCATAATAATAGATTTTCTTGTCACAGTCCCACCAGGGCAACATCTGTCACGTCTCTGAAATCGACTGTAGGACATATATCATTATATCCAGTGACGGAATAAAAAGGAGAAACGTGTCGACCTGGGGTCCCACTAAATTAGTCAACATATTTGTTTAAAATGAGATAAAAAGAAAATTGTATTCACAATTGTATGTCTGTGAGTGCCATCTCCGACCATAGAGGTACCATAATCATAAATGTTCTTACCTCATCTCCAGCCATGGTGGGGCTGAGGTGGTATAGGACTCTCTTTAACTGTGAAAGTCCCTCTCTGGCACCTTAATTTCAAATACCTAAATCCGCCACTGATGTAATATCATTTATTCGTAGAATAACAATGCAAGCATGATTAAAAAACAAGCATATCTAAAATCCCACGATGAAATTAACGACCGGGCCCAACAAAGGGCCCCCAGTTTTAGAAAGCTACAGGGCCCCCGGCCCCATCGTCACGCAACTACATTCATCCATCCATCCACCAAAGTAAGAATATTAAGAGTAATAATAAGAGTAAATATTAAGAGTATTGTAAGAATTAAAAACAAAATTAAGACACATACCGAAAATACAAATGAGTCCTGCGAGTTTTGATGAACACATAACTTGTCCACAATAGTCCGAATAAATCAATAGTCCTTACAGCGAAAGCTGGCGAGACGTCCAAAACACAAGTATGTTACACAAAAGTGCGAATCAAACAGAGCCTGTTTGTGGAAAAACATCAAATGAGAACGTAAGAAATCAAATAACCCATTAAAGCACTGACATGGATTATTCATCTAAAAAGTAGGAGGTCCATCATTCTCTTATGTTTAGGTGGGATTATGGAACGCCACTGGTGTTCTATAATTACCGTTTGTATTCGAAATGATATTATTCCGAAAGCAACGTGATAGCGTGTCAACTGCTTGGGTAAGAAAGCGCTGTGAATAGACATTATTTCCGGCAGATGGTGGCGCAGTTGTACAAAGCGGGATAATGATCGAATGAAACTTGGTCCCCCACGACGCCCGGTTGTAGCAACAATAGCTTAGGAAGTTTAATAACCAACTGTCTAATGAAACCGCCTTTCTCTACAATCAAAAATGATGATATTGATAATAATAATATTAATAACAATATTTAAAATTATATGTTACTGCCTAAATTAATTATCGCTAAAAGTGCTTCAAACTGAAAATTTAAGCTTCTTTCCAGCTTTTAAAAGATTTTTATACAGGTTAAAAAAAACTAAATAAAATTAATTAAATTTAGCGCTCTAATTATGTTCGAATTAACTGACGGTGGCTTTTGGAAGAAACATTATCAATCATCAAAAACATGTCTTTTCAGCTGTAAATTACTTAAAGCGATAATCATTTAAAGTGTGGAATTGTAGAGTGGCGATGTGAAAGGTCCTGGTTTTCAAATCCTGTTATAGCACAGGATTTTTATTACGGCTAAAACATCTCCACTCTGTAGCCTTATTTTATAAAGCATTATATCATTTCAATTATTTAAGCGACCTCCGAATATCAGTTTTCAGGGATAAGGTGGAAGGTCACTCTCTATAAATAAATGTAGGTCAAAATTTCCCGGGTAAAAATGGCCCTGGAAAAAATGGCCTTGGTAAGAATGGCCCTGGTCAAAATGGCCCCGGTAAAAAATGGCCCCAAATGACAGGTGGTAAAAATGGTCCCAATAATAAAATTCTGTATTAAAACGGATTTTTTTTTTTAATTATTTATTTATTTTTTTGTTAAAACTGAAATAATTTAATTTTTAAAAAGAATCTAACATCAAACAAATTGCTATTTATATTGTACATTTAGCAGGATGACATGAATAACATTTTATATTTTTGTTTTATTTTTTCCATTCAAATATACAAAAATAGCAATAATTAATCAATAAGTCAACATAAATCATGCATTTTTTAATACTAAAATAATTTAGTTGTGGCCAATTTCACGGAAGCGGAATCACAATTTCCAGAATTTTTTAACTTCAATCTGGGTATTGCTAAACCGCACAAAAATAGGTTGTTATGAACATCGAATTAATATTATTCTTTAATTGGGTAAAAAGAATGTCATACAATCATAAGTATTATTTTGGATGGGGTTCGTTGTCTGTTTTTGAAGGTTTGAGGTGTATTTGCAGGTATTTTTCACAAAAAAAATTTACATTTTAAACAAAAAAAGTAGGTTCTTATAGATTTATTTAATTTTCTTAATGATACCAAGTGAGTCAATCATAATCACATGGTTTGGTGTTCTACAGTGTGTTTTGGGAGGTTTGTGTGGTTTAGCAATACTCGTTAACCCTATAATAATTATTCTACCATCATAATTACACGCCATATTGATTCTTAGAATAAATGGAATATTTATATACTGGTAACTATAGAAAATTTGACTATCTCTCAGTTTTAAGTATTTAGTATAGTTAAAAAAAATATTAGTTTGCTATTTTAGAGCATTTAAATAATTAAAACATTTATTTTTTTTAAATCATTTTTATTTTTATCACCTGTCATTTGGGGCCATTTTTACCTGGGCACATTTTACCAGGGCCATTTTTACCAGGGTCATTTTCACCGCACACTACACTAATTATGGTATTAGAATAAAGCTTACCGAGAAAGAATAAGAATAATCGAAATAAATGAATGAAAAATAATTGATCCTAAAGAGGCTAATTTTAATACTAGCTAAGTACGTGCAAGAGTTTTGTTGTTGGTGAGTGAAACCAAATCTGTTGTTTATAATCCACATTACAGGTGCTTCATTACGTAATAACGAAAATGTTTCAAAAATACTTTTTTAGCGTTTGCAATTAGAGTCTGTGGGATCAGCATAAAGGTTGAATTTTGAATGGTTCACCAAGCATTTTGCTGTATGTTATTATGTTTTATTGAATCGTTCACCACAAAAAAAAAAAAAAAAATGTGAGCAGCAGGTTGATAATGTTCTTCCCACAGCTATTTAGATGTGGCACACCGTCCCTTCATCTTTTTCGGTACCTTTTAAGTACATAGATGCAAGTGTGTATAGGGAGTCCTAATTGGTTTTACATAAATAATCCATAAAGAAACAGTTGAGGACGGACAAATTCAGCCTTCTAAATAATCCCATAATTAATACTTTCTTTAACGATTAACATACAGTGAGGGATCTAATTCTTTTAAAAGTTGTAATAGAAATAAAGCCTGTTTTCAAGAGGAAGAGTCGTGACCAATGTCAGGTGGATGGATGCACCCTACTAGTCTATAGCGCAATTCATAGTATAAAGTTTATCTTTCGTTAATTTAGTGTTAATTACTCCCTCATCGCCCACTGCCTTTGTACTACCGCTTCTACTTTGCACATGTCCAGTTTTACACTTAATTAGTCTGTGTGAATAATCTTATTTATTAGGCCATTTTATCTGAAGAGTGTTGCACCATGTATGTGTAGCACGAAACTAAATAGTAATGAAATGTCTAATCAAACCAACTGTTGAACCTCTTACTTCTTGATATTCGGTCTGGTTTAGTATACTCGCAACACCTATATAAGGAATGAATGAATGAATGAATTATTTATATATGTTGCTGTCACCTCTAATTTCAGAGGAACAGAACTGTGGTGACGAAATACTCTTCAAATTAATAATAGTATTGGAACTGTCGTTACACTGGAAATGACGCAAACATAACAAAAATTATTAATTGCTGTATTCAATATTTAATTACACACTTATCACTATAAAACAAAACAAAAAGTTGAGCGAGGTCTGTCAATAATTCTTTTAACCGAGTTAGACTTCGTAAGCAAAATAAATGAATATATAATATCTAAGGAAAACTAGTATCATCACATGCAAAAAAAGATTCATATAGATAATTCATTACAATATCACATGACCCATCAGTTTATTTTATTACTGTAGGCCTATATATAGACATATATATATATACGCTGTCTCTTATACACATCTGACCCTATGGGTTGGGGAACCTTCGGGGTCCTAGGTGACGGGGGCCCTGCGGACCGCCGCATGGGAGCGCATAGTCGTTACACCACTGTACATCGGGAAACAATTTCCTACTCATTTCCAATTAGTATACTGCGTTCTTTAACGTGCACACAGGCAATAATGCACACGGAACCAACAGGTTAAATGTCTCATCCGAAAGAC